AAAAGGTGGCAACACTAGCACAGAATTTTTCATTACTTATTCTGTGACGAAACTGAATTTTAGTCTTTTAAATTGAGCTACCTAAATAAGGGGACGGTGAAATTTTCCTTTGCCCTGGGTGGCTGACACCCACACTATGCCACTGTCCTTAGGTTTGATCAATAGCTGTTTGGAACTTCATCCAACTTTTTCTTCATGTTGTTAATTAATCCCTGGCTTGATTTTGCATGCCATCCATTAGCATAGACCAGTTCTTTATAATAATCCAAAAATTGTTCAATTGATCAAAGTTTGAATATGTTTGGAAAGTTGTTTTCTTTGGACATAAAATTGATGCCTAACTCAATCAGCTTTGCTTGAGTTTAACATGCATAGTGAGCAATAACCAGATAGGGTAAAAATGCATCCTTTATTGTTTATGTAGTGCTTTTGGATATAATCTTTTTACAATGTATTCAACTGTGTGTCCTGGTTTACAGCTTCTTTCTTTTCATTTCATGAATAATGGCTCTGATGGTCATGATTGTTTAGACTGACTATAAGCCAGGCTGGCAACTTTTGTCCAAATTTTGTCTTGCCATGCAATCTTTTCTTGTCATTGGTATACTACACATTCTTTTATTCAGTACACTTGCAGCAATTTTAGCATATGTGTTCAATTATTATGCTACTGTCAGTGCGCTAAAGGTGCGCTTTCAGCGCACTAGCAACACCTCTTGACCGTGCTAAAAATAATGCTTACAAGATGGATGCCTCCATGAGAAAGTATCTTTTTTGACTAACAAATAATAATCAGTTTTTTGCTGTTTTAAATGAGCAGATTTTTAATCGTGACATACGAAAATGGCTTTTAAAGATTTCATTTGAATACTGCAGTACCATATCATGAACATAACCAATGATTTTTGCATGCTTTCTTCATTGTTGTGAATCAGTCATCGCCAATGCAATAAATAAATCATCATTTCCTGGTTTTCTTATAAACAACATCGAACTTAATGGCTTTTCTTCTAATAATATTGAACAAATGCATGTAAATATAGCAGAAAGAAAATCATTGTTTATATCAGCCATTTTGAGATAGCTCTTTTTCCAGCAAAAGTGTTTTCAACCGTCAGCAGCAAAAACGTCATTTCCGGCAGCACCTGCTCAGTGCCCTGCTGAATAAAAGAATGCGCGGATAATCTTATTTCTCTTTTCTTTGCAAAGTTGTAGGATGAAGAATTAGGAATGGATAGTAATTCTTGTCAGCCATGATTACATCAAATTAATTAAATTATTAACAACTGTGAGGCAGATAATAGCCCTTACTATTATCTGTCTCACAGTTGTTGATAATTTAGTTAATTTAATGATTACATCAATTATGAAAAGAGCATCTCCGGTACAGTACTTTTTGAACAGAGTGGATAGTTGCTGCTGTTGAATCTTTTTAAAGCTTTTTATTAACTTACTCTGTCCAGGTAAAAAGTTGCAATTCATCTATTTCCCAATTTCTGATCTAGTTGAAACTTTGCACACGTGTATTGCAAGTAACAGTATATTTTTTAATACTTTGCAAACATTTTTAACAATTAACAAAAAATTAGCAAATAATTAAAATTTGTAAATAAAATCTGCTAACAGATGGTGCTACAACAAATGACTGTTATTTGCTGTCCTACACATGAGAACAAACCTGAAGACAAAGAATTTTGTTATCTTGCCAAATAGCTAAAGTATACCTTTAATCTTTAAGAAAATATAAAAAATTTACATAAGATATTAGTCTTCACTACTTTTATTAACCACTGTATCAGCAATTTTGCAGGCCATAGAAGCTGTCATGTTCAAGGTAGCATTCTATCACCAAAGTAATTGAGAAGACTAATCACTCACTACATCCAAATTTAAACAACTTAAAGCTTTTTTGAATCAAGACCAATATCACAGAGAATAATACACATAAAATTAAATGCTAAAGTAAAGAGTTTTGATAGTTTAGTGTTACATTCATACAGTATAACTAAAAAGTAGAAAATAAAAAATATATTAAAACACATTTTAAAGTAATGCTTTTTATTTAGATAAATGTACTAAAAAGTAAAAATACATTTTATTCAGCTTTCACAGTATTTTTGGTATTATGCCTTAAAAATAAAAGTGTTGGATGCTTCTGTTTAGAGATATTTTATGACCAAAAATAAAAGCGTCCCTATGTAAATAAAAAGTGTTACTTTAAAATGTTTTTTTTTTAATATATTTTTTTATTTGACTTTTGTTTTTTTTCTGGTGTGGACTTTTTCTTTCTCATCACATATCCCATGTTAAACTCTTCATACATTGCTGGCCAACAAGTTGAAACTGAGACTAAATTTGGTATTGAGAGTTTGCTTCAGACTTCATCTGTCTTTGTCTATTGAATTTTTGATTGACCTAAACCTAAACCTGGCTTTATGCTGCTGTCAGAATCTTTTTCTGGTCTGTCCAGAATTTTGTAAACCCACCTCTACTTGAAATCTTCAGTCAAAAAATGTCTAATGATGTCTGGAGTTTTTCATGTCTGGATGAAGCTGCTCAGAATAAATTTATACTGTTTGCCCTCCTCTTTCTTTTTTTTTTTCTCCAGTTCTTATGATAATTCTGAAAAGATAATTTTCAGCATTTAATATTGGTTGAAAGCAGACAACTTCTGTGTTCTAATTTACAAATTCATTCAACTCTTGCGCATGACCATGAATCTAAAAATGCATATGGATTTGTGCAGTTTTTTCTCAAATACCTTAGATTTAGATTTCAGATAGTGATGAATTTTATAAAATTAATTACTATCAGAAATTAATGATCCCTTCAAATGTTCATTAATAATTTTATTTGGGTTAACAAAAATTATGCATAAAATTACCATTTTATTGCTCTTCCAAATAATTTAGCAAAATCCAGTTTTAAATATTTTGATAATTTTAAGATTTTAATATTTCATGAGCAGTTATATATTATTAGTATTATAATTATAGTATATACAAAAATTTATCTAGATTATTCTAAATCTTTTAATCAAATTGCTGTAGCAATTTCATTAAAAATATCTTAAATTTTTGGAGTTACAAAATAATGATCTTGAAAATATTTCACTCTTAAACTTTAAATGAATATATTATTTTTATAGTGGCCATGTATTAGACAGAAAACCTAATGATTATGGATTTGGTCAACTAAAATTTGAAGTTGCATTTGATCTCTGTATAGTGTGGCTGATTGTGTTTTTATCATTATGTCGAGGCCCAAAATCATTGGGAAAGGTAATTTTCTTCAATTAAAAAGAAAAATATATGTTAGAATAAGAATTGAATAAAAATAAATTAAAATAAACAAGCATTATTATTAATTATTAAGTTGAAAAATAAAATATTGATTTTAATTTTTATAATAATTTATTGATTAATTTAGAACAGCAGCCTTTTTCAAACTTTTCCAATTAGAAACTGGTAATAGTTTGTTTCAAAACCAACCTTAAATATATGAAAGCATCATTCAAGTGTTTCCTGATTAGCCCAAATTTGGTTGATTTACTCAAACTTATTACATCTTGTAGATTAAGTGATGGAATGGAGTCAGAGATCAAGTTCAAAAATATATGGAAATGCATTTCAGACTTACAGTCCCTCATCAGTCTAAACAGCAAGCGTAGATAACTATAAGTGGAATTTTTGGTATATATACATATGATCTTGCTCTTAACTGAATTGTTAACCAAAGACTATACATTTACCTTCTGAATAACAATTTTAAATCAGCAATAACACAAGTAAAAAATTAATATGGATTCGTATAAAACGGCAAAAAATACACACTAAAACAGACTTGTATAATACGGTAAAACGTCATCACCGACTTGTGTTACGACAGGATTGGTCAAATATAGACCAATAGCGGATATTGTACAAACCGTTGACTTTAAACGAGCACTGGACCTACTAAAAACATTTATTATTTAACGGCCATAAAAATTATATTTTTATTAATGATGTCTCCAAAGTTCAGTGAATTTTTCGCAGAAAAATAACTTATCAGAAAACATGTGCCCACCGTTCGATATGCTGCTCCACGATGAAAACAAGCTTAAGCAATGGCGTCGTCGAACGGTGCACACTTGGTAAGTAATCCTACAATATTTTGTTTCTAGCATAGTTTATATGGATTATTCCCAAAAAATTATATGTATTTTGGAAATGTTGAGTCATATTAGCCTAGAATCGATTAATTTTATGGACAAAACAGCTGTAGTCCCTAAACTGCATATGTGCTGGGCTGTGATTGGCTCATGTATATAAGTGACTCGTAAAACACGGATTTCATATAAAATGGAACATATCTACCATGTTATAGGGGGGTCTACTGTAGTTAAAAACATAGTCAATTAAAAAGTTGAGTAAAACATTTTATCTTTGTGCACAGCTGAGGAAATATTTTACTGAACTTTTTAATTGACTGTGTTTTTAACTACTGTTGTATTAAACAAAACGTGCTCAGCAAATAATTAGCTTATCACAACACCTCTTTCTTGTTGCCGAGATACTGTTGTATACTATTAATTTTTTACTTGTGTGTTATTGCTGATTTAAAATTGTTATTCAGAAGATAAATGTATAGTATTTGATTAACATAATCTTGCTCTCAACCAAATTTTTATATATATGCCAGAAATTCCGCTTAGTCATCTATGCTTGCTATTTGGTCTGATGAGGGACTATAAGTCTGAAATGCATTTCCATGTATTTTTGAACTTGATCTCTGACTCAATTTTATCACTTAATCTATAAGATGTGATAGGTTGAGCAAATCAGCCAAATTTGGGCTACTTCATAAAGCATTAACCCAGACAAGAAACAAGAATATTTACAAGGATTCAATCATTTAAGTGTGACTATTTCATAATAACTAGCATCTTATTAATTCCATGATTGTTGAACAATGTTATGTATTTTTCCAGTCCCATTGTGGTCAGGCCCACAATGGGACTGGGTGGTGAGGGATGGGCCCGACATATCCGAACAGACCACCCCCCGAAAAATTCCTGGGGATTCTTTGACCCATCTGGATTCGATCCCGGGTCCCCAGAGCAGTAGGCTGCCACCTTGACTGCTCGGCCATCCAGCCGTCTGAAACAATGTTATGTAATAAAACAGTTCATTTGAATAATATGATTTATATTCTGTTTTTATGGAAAATTTAAAAACACCAAATTTATTTTTAAGTTTTAAATATTTCAAGGATTGATAATTTTTTCCACAGGCTAACACAATGCTGTTAACCACAATCTGCATCTTGGAAAAAGCTAATTTAGATATTAATATACAAATTTCAAATGTTTTTTCAATGTGTTTTTAAAAGAATTGTGTGATTTAACAAAGATGGTTCTTTTCCTTGAGAAAATGAAAAAGTTTATTTATTGATTTTAATGCTTCATTATAGGCAATTATTTAATTTTTTTCTTTTACTTTTTTTCATTGTTGTCATTAATTACTTCAGAAATCATGTAATTAAGTTATTTTCTTAATTAAATTATTCTTAAATTAACTTTGTGACATTTGATAGTATGTTGGCAATTGAACCTTGATTGATAGACACAATCCTCAGGTCTTTGACAATAGAGTAAACAAGCTCATTAGACTGATAGGAATTTATATAGTAAATAAACTCACTTCTCTGGCCTTTCAGGGATGTTTTCTTATAGTTCCTAGATGATTGTCAAATTAAAGAGCAGATAATACTACATGTATTACACTACTGTTTCACAAAATTACATCAGAATTTGGAATAGAGGGGTGTTGGATTATTGAATTACATTGATACATTAATTCTACAGATATTAAGTGTTCTAAGTTGTTTCAGAATAAAGGAATGTTGGATTAGAGAAGTTTGTCTAAAATAATTTAAATTTTATTTAATCATTACCTTAATTAATATAGGAATTTTTATAATGTAGAATTTAAATAATGAAGTAAAATCCAGTAAAATGATACATGTTTAGTTCAGAATTTGTTAGCATAATGGATGAAAATAAAACATGTGTGTAAATAAGACAAAATAGTTTACATTTAAACTAGAGCTATCATTTTAAATGTATATAATTGTTTTAGTAACCAAATTCACATTATAATGATGAAAAGAGCAAAAGTATATATCTTATTAGCATTAATAAGTTATGAGTTCTATCAAGTCATGTCTTAATAGTCATTGGGACTGATTAACTATTCATCAGAAATGATTTTGATAAGCTGAATATTACACAATAGGCTTGAATAACATCTTCACATATTGTTAACTGTTTCTAAACTTAATCTTCCTTCTCTATCACATCATTGTCATCTATAAATATCATTTGCCTCATATTTTTCCTTCTCATGTTCTGTTACTTTTTACAGCATTGCTCTGTTATTATACTGAACAGCAATAATTAAATGTTACATTAAACTTTAAATTAATGTAATATTCTGAATAATGGTATTAACCAAAACCCAAAAATTTATGTTGTTACTGTAATTTTCTTTCTAAAGAAAATAAAAGATTTCAAAGTAAAAAAATTACATTGTAATTATAAAAATGTTTTAATGTAGTAATTTGCATTTTCTTTTAGAAAATAATAATTTATTTATAATGATTTTTTCCATTTACAGGTTGTTTTAATTTTGGGTATTATGCCTTCTATACTGTTACTTCTTGTCACTATGAGAATAATAGAACAATGGGGTGAAGGGATTATGGAAATCCTTCCGTCTTCATGGAAAGTTTCCATGACTGATTCTCAAGTAAGAATTATAAAATATGTATATATAAATTATTTATTTGCATAATTTTATTTTAAATAATTTAATGATTAAAATATTGAACATCTAGTTATAATATGCAATTTAGACACACACACACACACCATAACAAGGTTCACTGTTGTTCATATATCATTAATCATTTATCAGCATTTGTGAAAAATTTTTAAATTTACATTAAGAATATTTTCAGTTTACTTTATTCTTCATATACACTGTATTAAAGGAAGTAAAGTAGAATAATGTCTTAATAATTCACTTAATAATAATTGCATACTTATGTTTCAAGTTTTTCTAATAATTTTTTTGGCTTTCTGAAGAAATACCATAATAAGTGGAATAAAAGTATTTGAAAAAATAAAATTTATTTAAATTATATGTTAAGAAAAAAACAAAAAATAGAAACCATTAAACCCAATAGCAGTTTTTATTGCTGTTCTGTTCAAATGAAGAGCTTTCTAATTACAGTAGACCCTCCATAACCCTGAAGATAATTCCATATTATATGAATTCCATGTTGTATCAGTCACTTAGATTTTTCAAATACGTGAGACGTTCACAGCCTGGCACACATATTTGTAAAATCTAAGTGACTTGTACAACATAGAATTCATATAACATGGAATTATCTACAGTGTTATAGGGGGATCTACTGTATCCATTTGGGAAATTGGACTTAGCTGACCTGAACTTTTTAAATTCAGAGGATATACCGTGTTTCCCCGAAAATAAGACATCCGCAGAAAATAAGACCTAGCACAGATTTTGCTGAATTGCGAAATATAAGACCTCCCCCTGAAAGTAAGACCTAGCGAAGTTTTTTTTTAGTCGTAACGGTCATCGACAGATGGTTGAAAGTACAGCCACTGATTGGTCAGCAGACAATTACGCCACACGGCATGATTTGCATAAGACTATGGCTTGGGAATCACAGATTTGCATAATGTTATCGCTGGTGATCGCTAATTGGTCGGCTGGGAATCACGCCACATCACATTTGCATAGTGCTACGGTTCAGTAAGCACTAATTGGTCATCGAGCTCGATGTGGACACTATAAAAAGGTTAAGTTGAATGTGTCGCAAGGTGTTCTCTCGAACCTGTTTAGCGTATTGTTCAACAATAAATGTGAATTCGTCTTCATGGAAATATAAGACAT